CGCAGATAGCCCTCGTGTAGCTTTGCGCGAAATTACCAAAACAAACAAACATAATGCATCTGTTAACTTTTTTGTTATTTCTTATAACTTCTCACTGTAAAATCAGTGGCTAACAATGAAAATATCATTAATAATAAGGATACTAGCTGATGATTCAATGCATTTTAATAATTATAGATTTTAGTTTTCATGTGTATTGATATATGACACTGTGTACTTCAGTTTGTCATGTAGAATTAACTTCTTTAAGTTGTAAGTAATCTTTTGTTCTGATCTACAGAGTAAGCTTACTCCTTGGTCAGAAGATAGCGAAACATAAAACTGATGTACTTAGTTTTGTTATTTGATCTATTGACCTTTTTTTATTGTTAAAAAATTTACGTCTTCCTAGAAACAAAGTAAATAGGTAACCTACAGGGAAAGAGGGGTTGTTGTTGTCGTCCCTATAAGTTATAAATAATGACTATATATATTTAAAAATTTGTATTTAGTATAAAGTAAAGATTTAGAAGCTTTGAGTTTTATTTTGCAAAATGCAAAGGTTATAACACTTAACCTACAGGGAAAGAAGGGTTGTTGTTGTCCCTATAAATTATAACTAATGACTATATATATTTAAAAGTTTGAATTTAGTATAAAGTAAAGATTTAGAACCTTTGGGTTTTATTTTGCAAAATGCAAAGATTATAACACTTAACCTGCAGGGAAAGAGGGGTTGTTGTTGTCCCTATAAATTATAAATAATTACTATAAGTATATAAAAGTTTGAATTTAGAAGCTTTAAGTTTTATTTTGCAAAATGCAAAGGTTATAACACTTAACCTGCAGGGAAAGAGGGGTTGTTGTTGTCCCTATAAATTATAAATAATTACTATAAGTATATAAAAGTTTGAATTTAGAAGCTTTAAGTTTTATTTTGCAAAATGCAAAGATTATAACACTAAGAGGATACAGAAAATATTTCAAATACCGTGTCTTTTATGTTTCTGGTTAAAAGATGCCATAAAAAGTCTTCTAAGGTTCTGGGCTTATAAACATCACCAGTTTAGAGCATCATGTTACACCACAACCTGCAACTAATCAAAAATAAACAATTATTTTATTATTTTTCTAATTAAAAATACAAATTTAGAAACATTCTGTATCTAAGGGATTGTTTTGGTGTTAAGCTTTCAAGAAAAAAAATTAAAATTAATGTTAATATTCAACTACCGCTATAATCTTAAACTTTGTGCCCAATTAAAAAAAAAGTTATGTTAACACATATTAGAAGATTATTTAGAGTATCTTTTAGCAAAATTGTAGTTTTAAAGTTACTTTTGATAAAACAAATAAGGCTTAAGAAATGGAGCATGCTAGAATAAAATTAGAATATTTCAAAGACCAGAGCATTACTTGTCATGTAAACCCAAAATAAAATTTTTAGGACAAGTGGTCATTTTAAAGTATTAAAACATTCTGATAGAATCATAAAAGAAAAAAAGAATTCTCAGGGTAAATGATGACAAGCTTTCTAAAAAAACAACTAGGGAATACAATGAATTATCAAGGCATGTGATGTTAAGTTTGGAAGCACTAAATTGTATGTATGTATGTAATGATGCAGGAAGAAGATTGTGAAACAGATTTGGTTTCAACTATGATAACTCTAACTCAGTCTAATTAGCTTGTGACATCATCTATTCCATACACTGTAGCCTGATACTGTACCTCAAGCGGTGATAGACATGAACAAAGCACTGGAGGTCTCGGATGGAGAGAATGTTACAGGAAACCAGTTTTCCATTGCTATCGCAACCCCTGACAAAGTTCATTTCATCAAAGGAACCAGCAAAGAAGAGAGAAATTGGTGTGTGTAAAAACATTGAGTATTGATGTGAGAAACTTGCTAACTAAACAGAAGTGTTTTTTTTTGTAATTATCTCTTTTAGTTCATGTGGAATGTTTATCAAAGTTGACTTGTGGAAGGAGAAAAAAAAAAACATCTAGTTATACTTTATTCATATCTTATAAGTTTCTTATTTTATTCAAGAATTAAATAATTTTTTTATGTAAACAACCATTATAAAAAAAAAAAGGAAATAATACATAAAATTAATGGCAATAATGATAAGGTTTTCATTTTTCCTTCTGTTCAAAGCATTTTAATTAATTAATATCTAGACAGAAACTTGGAAGTAGACTTGTACAGGTAGCAGTAAATATAGAAATAATTCTCAACCAATATATTAGAAATTCATTAAAGTTAACTAATAATTTGCTGTTTTTACTTTACATCCAACTTGTACTTATCTTGGATAAAGAATTTATTTTTATTACTTACATTTTCTGGCTAGACTTTCAATGGTAAAAGCCTATTTTATAGTGAAAACTGTATCTTTTTTTTTTTATGAGAATATGTCCTTCCTTCTCAGAAGTCCTCTAGTGGAACAGTGGTAAGTCTGTAGACTTACAGTGCTAAAATTTGGGGTTCGATTCCCTGTGGTGGACACATCAGATGATAGTCCAATGCGGCTTTGCTATAAAACAAACCTTCTCAGAAATTTTTTTAACCCTTGATTTGCCAGTGAGGTTCAATATGAATCCCATCAGCATTTTTAAACAAATTTATTTAAAATATTTATACACCAAATTGGTTGTGGGTCCATGGCTTTGTTGGTCGCAAAGTCCTTAATAACATATGAACAACCAAACATTTAAATGAATGTATCATCACTATTGCAATTAATTCCATTATATGAAAGCACTCGTTTCACCAATTTTGTTTTATCAGTTCTCTAGACTTTAAATACGTGAAGTCAGTAGGAAGCATTATATGAATCTACACCAGTAGCAAATAGTATAAAAACAAGTTTGTAATTAGAGAGTTATCATATTACTTTTTTATTTCTGGTTTAAAAGTATTTCAAGTTAAATTTCTTTATCTTCAGAAGTACTAGACCTTAAATTCAGTTGCCAGAAAAGGGATTAAGTGATAGTCTTATTTTACAAAATAATCTGTGTTTGTATTTTGAAATACAATAACAAACAAGTCAAGTAGGTTCAATATACATGCACATAAAATTATATATAAAGGTTAAAGTTGGGTAGGGAAAGAAATTTTATGAGTAGCCTAAGAACATCATGGTCAAAAATATTTAAAACCATACTTTCTAGAATTTAAGATTGACCATTTACACATGTATATGCAAAACTTAATAGATTGATATGAAAAACAATGGTAAATTGTAATTTTGGCCTCCAGGAGGAGTTATTAATTAATAATTTTGAAAGGAACCAACTTCTGTGTTTTCAGATTAGATATGTCCTATACATATCATTTTGGGATTTATGTCTAATTACAAAAGTAAGGGATCATTTTTTAACTACTTTAACATGGTTTACCTAAGTACCAGAAATACAATTTCAATTTCTTATATCAACAAAACAGAGAGAGAGAGATTTTTTTTTTACATACACATAATATAACATTTAAGGACAACACAGGACTTATTGGTCAAACTAGGCTGTACAATCCACTAAATTTATGTATTAAAAAACAAAATCAAAGCCCTTTCGCTTCGTGGAGTTCGTTGATCCTTTGGGGCATCGTGAGAATCATGTCGTCAATTTTAGATTGTGGGATTTTCGCCCACTCTTGCTTCAAAACTTGGAGTAGATCGCTATTCGAAGTTGGTTTTTTGGTTGTTTCTTGACTTGCCGGTCGAGTATGGCCCAGTGGTTTTCAATAGGGTTCATGTCAGGAGATTGTGTGCATTTATAATTTGATATAACCATTGCATGAAGGTAAAAAAAGTGATTTCTTCTGAAGATAATAAAATAATTATTCATAATTACTCAGTAAGTAACTATATTCGGTAAACAAATACTAAAACATTTAAATCTTGTTATAAAATCTAGTAATTGCACACTTAAGATGGATATTTCTTATTGATCACTTTGAATCATTGGAAATTCTTGCAGGTGGTTTGACATTCTGTCACGTTTTCCATCAAATACAATAAGGGGTAGAAACAAAAGGTTTGCAACGATCCCTGGTGGCAAAGCTACAGTAACAGATGTTGGAAATCAGGTATGTTTCTGTTGTTATTTTATAATTTGCCATGGGTTTATCGCAATCTTGCAAAACTTAGCTGTCACCATTGAAGAAAGACACAACCAAGGGTTGTTTAAGACTCACGTACAATATTTTTTACACAAACTCAAGATTCATGGATATTTAGGGTTTTAAAATGGGCTAAAGTTTATTAATAAATTTGAGTATTTTAAAAGATAAAACAAAAATGATTTGTTTCAAGTGTTTCAAAGTACAAAACAAAAACTTAAGTTTAGTTAAATGAACTGTTAAATACAACTTAGCATGTTTACAACAAAATTAATCAGTTTAATTAAGTTGTTTCCAGTTCAAGGATCATTCAGGATGGTGTGCATTATTACAAGAGGTAACTGTCTACCCTCAAAATAAGACTACTTTAACTTTATAAACCCAAGTGGACAGTGACAGCATCCAATAATATTTATGTCTCTTTGGCTGATAATTATTAGGAAATCATGAAAATAATTCTTGCAGAACCTGCAAAAAAATTAAAGGTTTAAAGAGTTAAATATATTTGTAAGTGTGGGGTAATTGGGAATTCAGCACTACAGTACCATTCAGTGTACTTAATACACTGTACTTCACATCGAGATCTGCTGGCAAATAGTGAGAAGCACTTTTGTGATTGGCATCATTTTAACACGTTTGATTCATAGCACCACCAGTGATCATAAAAATGGCTGTTCCAAATTAATTTTATTTTCCTGTGGCCATCAAACTTCTTTACATATTACTTCAGAATACAGAGCCAGATTTCCTTATGGCTGTAAAATTAATTAATGTTTTTGGTTTAGCTCTTTTCACTTCTAGCTACTAATACCCACTTGTAACAGCTTTATATTTTCATAATGTGCATGTATAATTGAAATGTTTACACTGTTTATAATAGAGCTAAGTTTCTCTAGTTTTTCTAATCATCTAGTATCAGGCTTTAATTTGTTCTGAGGTAAAGTGTTGTACAGTTTGTGATCATTGTTGAAAACATCGTAATAATAAGAAATAATTGTGGTAATATATTATCAGTATAGGTGCTCCATTTGGCCTTTTAACTGTTACTAATAATTCCTGGTCATTAATAGAAGATTATGTAGACTTTTTTTTTAGGTTAATTAGTATAATAGCTCTGTGCAGCAAGCAGTACGTTTTTTGTTTGTTAAGGTCGTGATGTTTGTAATGTTAGTTTTGCCATTTTGCAAAATAAGATAAAATTGGACCGAGGACATCCAGCATGCTCAGAGTATGCTTATGGTAATGAACACAAATGTGAAAGATCTTTTACTGTTTTTGTGTATAATTTTATTACAATCTTAAAATAACTACTCTTTTAAATCTCTCTCTCTCTTTCTCTAGGTTGGCAAAAAATCTGATATCTCTAGTGATCTCATCAGAAGTGCCTCCACTCGTGAGAGATTCAATACTTTCAGCTCCAAATTTCCATCACAACCCAAACCAGAACCTTCTTGGGAACAACTTAAGAAGGCAGGAACAGAAGATGTTTTTTCAACTAAAGAGAGTGATAAACTTATTCTTAAAAATAATTTACCTTCTACGCCCATTAAAAAAGCCTCTGTGATTAATAACAAGATGGAAAGTGACAATGCTAGTGAATGGAAGCACATAGAAAGTAAAAACCTGAGAAATATTCTAAGTAATAGTGGAAGTATTAGCTATCCTTCTTCTGTTGAGAAAGGTAAGAATCCACAGTCTCTAATCAAATAACACTAATAGGTTTTGTACTGTACTTCATACAGATAACATTTGTTTTGTTTCCAAAAACAGAGGGCTGAGTATGGTATATTAAAATAAGTTTGGATATGCAAATCTGCAAGTCATGTGACAACTACAACCAATATAAAGTTATGATATAATAGCATACATCAGAGCTACATTTTGACATTATTTTGCATTTTGTAGGTAATGTGATACCACCAAAAATTGATTATTTTTGGGAAAGGTATAAAACATCCCTCATACTCAGATCATAAAGATGTGTTCAGATTAGAGATATAAAATTTTCCAGACAGAGATATTCTTTCTTTATAATGGCATTGGAAGAACAAAGGAATATGGATCAACTTGGGGTCTTGGGACCATCCAAAAAAAGTCATGCAACTAGTTGTAACAAGTGAGAATACATGAACACAAAGATCATTAGCAAAAGCCATTAATGTACCCAAGGCAATAGTATACAACATAATGAAGAAGGATTTCCTGCTGAAAATGTGACAGAAGCTACATGTACACAAGATGGTTCCACAAAATATCCAGGAAAGGAAGACCAACTGTATAAAACTGTATGAATGGTACCTAGCTAGAAAACAAATTGCAGTATTTGGTGATACTTAATAAAACGTGTCCCTTGATAGCTGTAACAAGTCTTGTGCCATTTTACTGTAGTCACTGTATGACAAAAATTTCCAAAAGTGGTATAAGGTATGTCACAAAACGTTTTCAATGGGATTTATGGTCATCACTGAATACTGTACCAGAGACACATTAATGATCAGGTCAAAGTGAACCCTTCTTGCTATCAGACCAATGTTCTGGACCTTTTGTACTACACAGAAATACTATCTTTGTACAGAAACGAGGTAAACAATGTATGATTTCATCGAGATACGGCTTCCAGTCAAAGCTCTCATTTAGCAGTTACATACCTTAAGCAGCTGAAGAATGAGACTGGTATTCATGCTATTCCATACAAAAACATAGGTCATTTGGATTTCTGTGATCAGACTGTTGAAATAGGAGCTGAAAAAAAGTCATCCACTTACATTACATGGATATTGGAAAGCAAGCAGGGAAGAGTAGCATGCTTTGGACATGGCTATTTTATGAGACTTTTGTAATAGAAGCTATGCTGCAGGGCTTTTGCCAGGATGCATAGTCATCAGATAAAACATGATTAGACATGATGACATGCTCCACGAGTACTGAAATATAACATACCCAACTCTCTGTACTTACTTGTTATCCCATTTCTTGTGTTAGAGCAGGGATTTTAAAACTGGGGATTTACCCCACAGGAGGACCACCCGGGACATGATAAATTCATAAATAGAATAGAAAACTTAATGTACACACACACACACACACACACACACACACACACACGTTTCCTATCTCTGTAAAGTAAAGTGAATCTTACTGCTGGTATCATGTCAGAACCACTAGATAGCACTTTGGTGCCTTTTGTATATTGCATATTATTGGATGAAGTCCTCATCCATCTGGTTCTGGAAATTGTTTATTAATCCAATGCTGTTCTGGGTGTGTGTGTGTTAGTATTTAGTGATAGTGCATGGCATGTTGTTTTTTTATAATGGTGTATGTACATATGTCTGGGTAGGAGCAATCAAGCACCATGGAGAAGAGAAAGTGGGCACTTTCTAAAGGGTTTGGGAACCATTGTGATATAATGAAAATTTACTAAGTGTAATTCTTCTTTGTTACCTTAAAAAAAAGTTTTAAAAAAATGCAAATTGATAGTAAAATCTATGCAATAGTAATGTGAGAAATTTTTTGTTGCATGAAAAATTTGGTGGTCCAATAAAATTAAGATAGATTTACCCTTATTTGCATCAAAAATATTGGGCCACTCAAAATTTCGTCAGAAATACGTTTAGTAGAAATTACAAAACACTAAGCAGTAATTATAGTATTTTGGCACTTGTGTATAATGTTAAAATCATAAATAATATTCATTATGTAGAATTTCAGAGATTCGTTTATTTCTTTTATCACCAGACACAAAAACAAAGAAAAGTTTGCAAGTGGAGGAAACTCCAAATCCAGACAAGTAAGTTTTAAAATAAATTAGAAAACTTTCCACAAAAACAATTCTTTGCAGTGTTTTTCATTTTATTTCTATTAATTTTTAAATTGTTATTATATCTGTGTTCAGTCTTCACATAATAGGAGTATTAATGAGTATAAGCAAATTAATGTAGAATAACTAAATCAGCATGGAAAATTTTATAACTGTACTTGATATTATGAGCTTAGAAATCATTATTTACCATTCTATATGTTATACATGTACACAGCGTGGTCACAAGTAAATAGACACCACCTTTTCAGAAAAAATGAACTTTTTCAGTCATATTCACATGAATTG